CCCGCGCCGGCGGCGGGCGCGGGAGGCGCGGGCAGCTCTGAGCGCCGGCGAGGACAGCACTTTATATACATATACTTCATTTTCTTTCTTTTTTTTTTCTTGTCCCTGAAGGTTAAGTTAGCCAGTTTAGCATATTTCAGGCGAAATACATCCGAAAACCTCCCATTTCTTTTACTTTGTCACCGGTAGTAGTTTCTAACGAGAACAGCAGCTTTAGACACACGCAGGCAGCACAGTTCCAGCATCAGCACTGTCAATAAGGGAGCGCAGTTCCAGCCTGACAGGAGTGTTACAAGGATATATCCGCTAACGAGCAGCCTTAATTGGCCTGCATATTGTGGCTGTCACTGTTAAAACCTGTTCCTATACAGTCCTATTTTTTGCATCCCTAAAACATACAGCTCTTTAAAGCAGTTAAAGAGACAATATTCACTGAGCTTTTGATTTGGAGGGGAGGTGGAAAGAAATGGAAAGACGAGGGGAAATAGGAAGCCCCATTAAGAATATGGTATCAATGTCTCTGAAAAACTATTTGAAAGTCAAATGTGTACTAAAAACAACAGTTTTTTTCCAGTTTCAATGCACTTGTCAATTATTTTTCAATAGACTGCAGTGGCTGCAGAGGAATCGCTGACATTTAGTACATTTAAGTCTTTTAAATGTATTGTGTTCCTTAATAGATCTTACCTTTTCCTTAGCTTTAACACAAAAGTATTTTGACTTTAGTGATTTGCAGGAGTTCGCTGGTCGTCCTGGCAAATCCTTCACACAACGGGGTTTCATGTGTGGCTTCAGTTTGCAGTACAGGGTCATGTTCATAAAGAATACGAATGAAATAGACAAGATTGAAAAAAAAAAAACTTACTGCGCATGTGCAGTGGGCAGTTAGTAAAAGATAACAACGTAACTAGATAATAAAAGTCAAAATATCAAACAGGGCAGAGCAGATCATGCCTAATGCCACATCAAGTACCTTCCTTTAAGGAACTTATTCCTCCAATGATTTTAAAACGTCTAGCCTGCAAACTTTAATATTAAATACCACCGCTGTGACTGAAGACTGCAAATACGTATGTATGTATAAAGGGACCTTACGAAGATCTTCCAGACCAAGTTTCAATCAAATGAAATGCTTCCTGTTTTCCAGCTCTGCCAAATAGGGATTTGTACAGGAAAGACCCTAGACACAAAACAGTGTTGGTGAATTCTGAGGAGCTGAACCTGATACGTTGTTTATTCACATGAATAAATAAATAAATAAAGATGCATGAAAGAGATTGGCGCAATGAATAACGTAGGACGGGAAAGCCTGGCTCCCTGTGCCAACCCCTGCAATGCCCCCGCGCTTGGAGAGCGCCTGGCTGCGCTGAACCCACATCCCCCTGCGGAGACAGAGCGCAGTCAAACGCCAGGGGAGAGCTCTAAAATGCGCAGATTTCCCACTCTGCCACCAGAGCCACGCTCGTGTGGCGGGGGGCAGGCAGGGAAGCACGCAGGGAGGCTGGGAGCAGGGAAGTGGGAAGCAGGCAGAGAGCCAGGAAAGGAGGCAGGGAAGCAGGGGAGGAGGCAGGGAAGCAGGGAAGGAGGCAGGGAAGCAGGAAGGAAAGCAGGGAAGCAGGGAGGGAGACAGAGAAGCAGTCAGGGAAGCAGGAGCCAGGCAGGGAAGCAGGCAGAGAAGCGGGAAGCAGGAAGCAGGGAGGAAGGCAGGGAAGCAGGCAAGGAAGCAGGCAGGGAGGCAGAAAGCAAGCAGGGAGGCTGAGAAGCAGGGAGCGAGGCAGGGAAGCAGGCAGGGAAACAGGAAGCAGGGGAGCAGGGAGGGAGGCAGGGAAACAGGAAGCAGGCAGGATGCAGGGAAGCAGGCAGGGAAGCAGGGACAGCTCCCGGTGCTGAGGCGGCCGCCGCCTCACGGCGCGCCAACAATGGCCGCCCGCGCCGCGTCCCGCTCCCAGCGCCCTAATGGGATTAAGGAGGGAATTACCGGCCGTCGGGCGGGAGCCGCTCCCGCGCGGGGCCGCGGCCGCGGGGACCCCCCACCCGCGCCGGGTGACTTCGGAGCCCAACTTGCACCGCGAGCCCCTGCCTGCGCCCTAACATGGCCGATGCCGAAGGAGCATCAAACCCGGCTCCCTTTCAGAGAAAGCCGCAGTCTGAAATCAGAGCGGTAGGAGAAAAGAGTCCCCTTCAAGCAACTACCAGCAGTACGTTTTACCGAGACAAGTTAGTGCTGGATCTGCTGCGGGGTGTTTTCTAAAGCAAAACTCAAAGAGGAATTCCAAGCAAGCAATCCAGAGTGAGTTGCTGAATGTGGACAAGGCAGAGACCTGGCTCTCCGAGTCTAACCTCAATAAAAGTGAAACTTCTTTCCATCTGAAATTCAGCACTCGCCACCATTTCTGGGTTGCAATGAGGAAACATAAAGAGAGCCCCTATAGGTTGCAACTGTAACTCAAATGTATCTATTTGGAAAAAAAAAAAAAAGGTATACTCTATATCTCATTTCCTATCTTAAAAGGACAGTAACTAACCCAGAAAAACATGGATCATTTAAAAAATCTACTCTTATGCACACGCTCCTGCAGAGTACGAGCATCTTACAGATATTCTCTTTGCCTAGATGTGTACTTTTTTTCTCATATAGGAGCAAATGGCATGCTTTTGTTCCATTAAGTTTAATCGCCGTTGGTGACAAATTTAAGAAGAAAACCTGCGTAATGTGTCTTTTATAAGGAACTAGCAAGTCATTTATTTTCTACTAAGTTGTTTTTTATACTCTTTAGTTACTTTCTAGCAGTGAATAATGTTAACGAATTTGCACTAAATTTACATAGACTATAGTTTCACTCCTGTAAACTATTTTTAAATGGAAGTATAGACTGTGATGCTTTCGAGGGGATTAATTGATTTAACCACCCCTTATTTACGGATCTAATTCTCTTTAAGGAACAAATAAGAACTATTATGACTACAAAGTATTTAAGAGAGTTTTCCTTAGAAATGCTACTCTTATGAGTGTTCCCTTTAAAAGTACAGATCCACTGTTTTAACACGTCATTTTAGTGCAAAACTATAGCATCTTACAACATTTTATTCCATTGTGTCTGACTGTCACAAGACCGTGAAGTTTTTGTCTCCGTCTCTCCACAGCAAACAAGTACCGTCCAACATGCAGCAAGTTTATATAAACAACAACATGCTTAATGCATGCAACATAATGCGTTCATATAGCAAAGACAGACTCTAGGATATTTCATGAACTATTCCACAGCTCACTATAATTTTGGCTGCCCAGCAATAGTGTCAGAAGAACTTGAAAAGAGCAAACAATGGACATTTAAGTACAAGCCACAGAACGACTGCAAAAATCACAATAATCTCTCTAGTTAGCTACAAGAATCAACCCCCACCCTGAATAAAATGCAGCCCACACTTGCACTATTAACCATTTACAAGTTAAACACAAGAAAGACATTTCAGCACGATTAAGAAACACCCTCGCTTACTACAACTTTGAAAGGATGAGGAGTAAGAAGCATACCACAGAGACCCAGAAAAGGCTGCTTTTTTCTTCACTGAACACTGAAAAGACACCCCATTTTCCAGGGATTCAAAAAATATAGATTAAAATACACCCACCAACACCAAGGAAAAAAATCAGGGGGGCTTCGAGAAGACTGCAGGGAAAAAGCTCTCTCACTCTCTTTAGTGTGCAGAAGCTTAGGGGGAAAAAAATGTCGCCCTGGCAGGAATGACAAATGCAGTAGGATAGGCTAGCAGGCCTGAGGGATCTGTTTTACTTCCACATACATCCTCTAATGCACGCACTCCCACTCATCCTCTCGAGATGCCTTTTTTTTTTTTCCTCCACTTTTTTTTTTCACCAGCTCCAAATCCCCGGCATATGACCTTCTGTTAAATAGATAAAAAAAAATTTGCTTATCAGTCATGCAAATGAGGCTGAATTCATTTTCCACAACAGATGGCCTCATAGATAATGATGATGGAAGAGAGAAAATTGAATGTCTCTCACAAGGTGGTCATGGCAACCGAGAGCAGAATAATATCAATAATAAGCTCACTGCATAATAAGGTTGTCAATCCCACAAATCAAAGTCTCCAGCTAAATCAGGTATCCCACCCCCAGCTAGTTATCAGGTAAATAGAGAAATAGAGAGTGTCCTTTTTCTTTTTAAACGAGGAGCTGTGAAAAGAAACGGCAGCTCCGGCAATTCCAGGCTACAAGGGGAAAGAAAGAGCAGAAGGGATTTTTCCTCCGCTAATTGTGTTTTATTTGGTAATTTGGGAGGCTGTTGGGTTTTTCCTTTTTTTTTCTTTTTTTTTTTTTTTTGCGTATTCCCAGGGTGTTTTCGTTTGCTGGGGCGGGGGGAGCGTTGCCGGGGTG